AAAATTTGATCACGATTTAAATACAGTATTTACTTTTAATATTACCGATATGTCATCGAAAAGAAAACGTGTTGTATTATCATTAAAAGACAAATTAAAGTATTTGTTTCGATTATCCGGATTTTTCCTTATCCGGACTACCTTCATCCCCAATTAGTCCGGATAATCGAGGTTCTACTGTAATGTGTTCATATTTTCAATGATTAAATGATTATATCAAGGATATTTTTTTATCTTTATCATCATATTTTAAAATAAAATTTGATAAAATACTGCTAATTGCTGTTAATTTTGCACAATGTATTAAATTATGGATACAACAAGTCAGTAAAGTAAACCAGTGCCATTGTGATACACAAAGTTAAAACTGAAAAAAATTGTGCAAGTTCTTTTGGACATCAAAATGACAAACCCCTTAAACATATGCAGCCATCATTAAGTGAATCTTGTTGATATAGTAGACATCACTTCTTTTAATAACCCATTCCATTTCATTCTTTTTGAGTGAAATGAATGGGTCAATGGAGTAGAAAAAAAAAGGAAAAATGAGAAGATTTTATCAAGATTATATTAATAAAAATATGTATTTAGATAGTGTAAGTTGTAATGCACTTATTATCATTATACACTGTTCTGAAAGCTAAATTAAGAATCAATGTGTTAAGAATTTTAGACACAAACTGCATTAATCTATTATTATATTTTTTTTAATTTCAGACAGTTTTTCTGGGAGAAAATTTTCTGTGTCTTCTCGTAGTTCTATATCAGATATTGAAAATCAAGAAATTACAACCAAATTGTATTCTGAAGGTTAGTAACATAAAATTATTTACATAAATATTAAAATAAAAGGTGATATTTCATTTGCAAAATTTTTAAAATAGAATCACTTCTATCTACGAAAACTTCAAGAATTCCTACTGATCAAAGCAGTGCATCTGATTATTCAAGTCCTCCAGACAGTCCATATAGTTCTAGTATGTCACTTAATACAGGAAGCAATACAGGTTTGATTAGAATTAATGTATTATTTGAAATAATAATATAATAAATGCTTCTGATAAATTCTTTAGAAAATAAAAAAATTTATATTATCTCTTTAATTTAGAGATATTTTTTTATTTCTTTCTGTTATTTTTTTTTCTTCTTCTGATAATACAGTCATTGACTAAAACAAGTTATGCAATTAAATAAGATTGTNATAAATTTATGACTCTTTAATTTAGAGATATTTTTTTATTTCTTTCTGTTATTTTTTTTTCTTCTTCTGATAATACAGTCATTGACTAAAACAAGTTATGCAATTAAATAAGATTGTCTGAATACTGTAAAAGGCATACAGCTAAGTCTCCTAAAGGTGTATAAATACTGTTGTGGTTCAATTGTACACCAGATAATGATTGCAAAGTGCCTTAAAATTACTACCCAGTATCCTATAAAAAAAAAGACTTGCAGAAGATCACTGATAATTTCTAGTATACTTGTTGGTTAGAGATTATCAAATAATAAGCAGGCCTATGCAACACAGTCAAAGACATTACTCACAGCTGGCAGAGTTTAGAGAAAGGCTGTATTATCAGGCTGAGGAAAGTAGGATGGGCAATTTGCTGAATTATTTGTCATTTGGAGTGTTCTGACCTGACTATGAGATGTTGGGACAATGGATATGTTAGGACATACAAACATAGTGGGTAGGCTCTTGATGCCCCAAACAGACCACCATTCCTGTACCATTCTTACTGATTTCTACATTTCCTACTGATTGTTACAGGTGACTAGTAGACAGATAAATTTGCCTGCATGGCAACCTCTTCACATCCTGTCATTAGTAGCCCAACACTGTTAGCTTCATTTGCAATGATGGTGACATGTCAGGAAACTAGGGACAGGCAGCATATTGTCACTAGACAAATCCTGGTTCTATTTTGGAACAGATAACATTCCAAGCAGAACTATGGTAATGTGGAGGATGACTGATGAGCACTAATCCCATATGTACTGTTGAGCAGCACATTGATCCACTGCTGGCATGTCACTCTGGGAGCCATCTCTTGTGGTCACCCTTCTGGTATATTCAGAAATCTTGCACCCTCAAGTGTTTGCTTTTTATGGCAGGGCTGCAAACAGCCATTTTCTGGCAAGATAATGCTTAGTCACATAAACCTGTAGAGTTTTCAAAGGCTGAATGCTGCCACACTTTTTTAATCTGTCCAGTTTCTAGATTTGGTTCATCAAGCATTTGTGGGATTAGATGGGATGCCTGCTTCAGCCCTCTACAAGTATAAGGGATCTGGAGCAGCAGTTACAAGCCTCAGAACAGCTCACTATTTTTAAATTAGTCACTTTTACTCAACTATTTTGGTGATATATCGCTATTTCTCACTTTTTCTGCCATTATGGGCAACAACATTTTTGTGATATCAAGCAGTCACATGTTACTTCATTAATTAATGTTTAAATACTTAAATTGTGATGCCCATAACAGCTTTCTCTTGTTGCATGTTGAAAACTTTATGTTATTACAGTAGACCCCCCTATAACGCTTAGATACGTTCCACGCTAACCGAAAATTACGTTGTAGGAATGATTATATACATGAGCCAATCGCAGCCCGATAGGTGGGAACTTTACGGACTAAGGCTGTTCGAAAGGTTTTCTTCTATAAAATTAACCGATTCTAGACTAATTCGACTCAACATTTCCAAAACACGTATAATTTTTTGGGAGTAATCCGTATAAACTATGCTATAAACAAAAAATTATAGGATTACTTACCGAGTGTGTACCGTTCGACTACGCCCGTTGTTCAAAGCTTGTCTTCGTCGCGGAACAGCACACGAAACGGCGGCCGCGATATCTGATAAATAATTTATCGCAGAAAGATAACTTGACCTTTGGAGACATCATTAATATAAATAATTTTTATGGCCGTTGAATAAGAAGTGTTTCTTTCACAAGAAATGTATAAAATTAGTGCTGTATTAGACTTACGGTACCTAATTTACATACTGTGCAGACGATAATAAACTCAACTTACTAGCCTAAAATCTCCGTAGCGTGTTGCCAGGCGGCAGAAAGCATATATATAATTATAATAAAGTTACAATAAATTAAGTTAATATATAATTATATATACAGTACCTAATTTATATATAATTAATATATAATTATATATACAGTACCTAATTTATATATAATACTAAACAGACGATAGCAAACTCAATTTAGCCGCTCCGTAGCGTGGCGCAGGGTCGGAGGTAAGTAGTTCGGCTGCTCATCCACTATTGGTCCAGACTCTATCAATCTTCTCGCGAAACGACGTTATAGGAGGTACATTATACGAAAGTTGCTACAATTTTTTCGCTACGTTATAGGAATTGTCGTTATAGGAACGTACGTTATAGGGGGGTCGACTGTACATGACTTTTCAGGTCTAAAAATGTTAGTTATGCAATATTGTAAAATTGAGAGTGCACAGTCTAACATTGACAAAAAATTTTTTCAGTACAGTACAGTAGTATTTTAATTTCTTCCAAGCCCCTTACAATTGACCTTCACACCATCAATTTAAAGGCAGGTGTTAATAAACCAGTTTAAAAATGAAAACCAAGTGCAAAAATAGATAAATAAACATAATTTAAAAGGACACTATTTATCATTTCTCAATTTTTGTTTTAATAATTTTGATAGTATAGCAGAATTACCGATTAAATTTTTTTCAAGTTAATAATTTATAAAATTTGGAAAGTTTATTAAAGGACAATTTAATAAAGTTATAGCTTTGTAACAGATTACAGGATTTATTGATGAATAAAAAATAACAAGCTTGGTCAAGATGATTTCACAGCATGCTCCACAAAAGCGAATCAAATATTAATTTTGTTTAAAAATAAATTTTATAAATTCTTGGAATCAAGTAGTTCTTGCACATGCACGTGGACATGCACAATAAATGGATTGAACAGAACAACTTAGGTAATGAAAGTGAAGTCATTGTGCATGCAGTGCATAAGCACAATAAATGGATTCAATGGATCATAACACTTAGGTAACAAAAGTCATTGTGCATGCACATGGAAATCTGACAGACAGACAGACAACGTCAACTGATGGACAAAATTCCTAACATAAGCACTTCACCACTATAGTGGAGCGTGCTAAAAACAGAGTTTTACTTACCCAGCTTGTCATGTATATAACATGGGAAAATATTGGAATTGTATCAAATTTGACCCTCCAAGTTTTTTGCAAATGTCTGCATTTTGAGACCTCCTGAATCTAAAAATGGCAAAAAATAAAGAAAATTCTGTATGTGTTAGCATCCACTTTGTTTAATATCTCAGAATGGGGTAATGATAAAGAAACAAAATTTAGCACAGTAGCTTGTGTACAAAAGGGCATTGATTCTATTAAATTTTGGTGGTTATAGATCAAGGAGTGGGAAGGTAGAAAGGGTCATGTGTCATAACTTGAGTGGAGTCAGACTTTATGAAGATTTTACTCATTATTAGCAATTCTAATTTTATAAAACTCATCTCTACCCTCAAAATTAATCTATTTGCAGTTTTTGTAATTATTAGTAATATAAAAATTGTTTTTTTTAACAAAATCTTGTAATGGATGATGCTGCAAACTAATTTTAAAATTGTTCTATTACATCATCATATTTTTTCTAGAAAAGTTATTCATTTCACTTCTGAATTTTTTATTTAATGAAATGTCTTGTTTTAAGTTTTAATAATTCTGCTATTCTGAAAACTTTTGTCTAATTAATAATTTTAATTTGCAAAATTTAAGAAGATAACTCATTAGAAAAACAGTAAGTATACAGACAATTTTTCTCTCAAGTTTTTTAAGAAAGACATGCCTTATGTCTTCTAATAGACACCTCTCATTTTTAATTACCACTGGCTGACCAACTCAGTGCTTATTAGCCTATGGTTATGTTCTACAAAAAATAAAGAAACCAAGTAAAGAATAGATCAAACTATACAGATATAGCAAAGGATAATTAACAACCTCTTTTGCTAATTTTGGTCAACCAATTTAGATACAATACACTCAAAAACGAAACTGGAAATTCCCAAGTTTCAGTTTTGCAGGGACTGGTGTCTATTCAAGTCTTCGCTATAAGGCTTTTATGCAAATGTGAGAAAAAGGAACAACATGTGAAAACAAACTTTTCAGACCAGAATTTGCAATCACAACACCATTTATGTAGATTATCTCATGTGTTTATGAGAGAACAAATTTCTTTCATAAACACACGAGAAATGCACACAAATCTAGACCCTGTGCAAGCATTAGTTCAAAATAATGCTGCTGAGGCAAACAGTGCCAATAGCCAGAAGCCCAATTTGTGGTATTTTCTGGTCATAATTACAAATTATGAATCTTTATTCATAATTACTATTAGTTAATAATGAAAATAAGTTTTGTTCTTTAAACAAAAGAAAATGCTCTCAAACTAAATTATAATGTCAAATAAAACAAAACTCATAAACATTAAATAACATTCAGATTTGACTCCTTACAAATAATGTATATCATCATGGCCAACTAATTTTATTTCAATCACTGTTTAGTCACTTTTTCCATGTAGGGAGTTACTATTCTCACTTATTTTGAAGTCACTTTCTGTTCTGAGGCATGCAGTTAGTAAATCTGTTGCAGGATTGCATAGAGTGCCATATGCCTAATCATATTAACACTTTTATCCAGGCAGAGAGTATGAGGTACTAGAGTTTGTTTAAATTGTACTATTATTCTACAGGAAATTGTTCCTATGCTGTAATATTGTAATTACTTAATAAAGTTAATTTGATTTCAGTTTCTGCTCTTTTGTGGGTAATTTTTTTTAATGAGTTTATATTAATAAAATAATTTTTATTTTATTCAGACTCTTTAATTTAATGAGATTTTCTTCAAATTTAATTTAATGAGATTTCTTTCAAATTATCAACTTACGTAAAATACCCAAACTCCAGCAGTAATGTTAAATATGAAGACTAGAACCTACATTCAAAAGACTTCAGAACCTGAAGATGGGGGGACACTGTCAACTGTGAGAAAAAGGAAAAACATGTGAAAACACATGTTTTTCCTTTATCCCAGTTATTTTGTTGCTTAGATGTCTGATGCCCAGTTAGTGGTAACCCACCACTAACTGGGCATCAGACATCTAAGCAACAAAATAAGAGATGAGTAATAGACAAAATACAAAATTTTTTATTATTCTCTTTATTAAAATCACTATTCTTTTCTATTGATCTACTATCTGGTAAATTTAAATATTTTTAAGAAATGAGTTAAAAGAACGACTTTGTAATTAACAAACATATTTATACATGTTACATACATTATTTTTTTATTTTTACAAGAAAATAGAAAAGTCTCAAAGGACAGTTGATATCTATTTCAAAAATTAACATATATAGGTTATATAAGAACTAAGATAATAATTACATAAAATTAAAAATACATTATATTAAATACAATATATGTTAAAACAAAAAAGTATAAAAGTTCTTTGAAAGAATTTATTTTTGAAGAACTGCTTTTCTTTGATGCACTTTGTTAACCACTTCTGACAAAATAATTAATGATGCTACAGTATGTTGATCCAAAACATTTTCTTTTCCTAAATTGGAAGTAACTCATAATTCATAGTTCATAGCTTATAACTTATACCTCATAAGTCTTAATTATATTTATATTTATATATATTTTACCAATATTTACGAAAGAAAATAAATAAATAAAATGTATCTACCAAATTGTGTGCTTGCTAAGAATGCAAAAATTTTTAAGTTCTGTTGCCCAATTGTCATGTACCCAAAGATGGAGGCATAAGATCTCTGAAAGCATTCATTCTAGTCTTAATATTTAACATTACTGCTGTAGTTTTGGTGTTTTACATAAGTTGATTGTTTCTTTGGTTAAATAGTTGTTTATAAAGCAACAAAATTATTTTTATTATTTATATGAATCTCATTTACTCTTACCTTTATACAGATTTATACAATTAACATATATATTAGTGAAATAATTTCTTTAGATATAGTGCCATTGAAGTTTTTCTCATATATTTTTAGTTTTAAAAAATATGTTTTTTGTTGTATAATTGAAATGACATATAATTTTTATTAATTTACAACTTATAATTGTATAAAAGGACAAAACAAATATTTTCAGTTTTGAAAGGATTTTTTTTATTTTTAAGTAACTGATAATGTTATAGATAATTTAAAGAATTGGAAAATAATTTTGATTTGAGTCAAAGATTTGATCATTTTATCTGGAAAAGTCATGTATATTTCATAGTTAACAATATTAAGAAACAAATTTAGTAATTTAAATTTAATGGTATCAGTAATGATTTCAATTTCTAAACTTTCTGAATATATTTTATTGTATAATATATATTATTAAAGGATGTAATATTTTAAAAATTGTTTAAAGATGTTTAAAAAATATTGATTTATTTCAATTATAAAGTATATAAGTAACTTTGAACATTTTAGATTCTGGACAAACCATTTCCTCTCAACCATTAGCATATAATGGAGTAAAACATTTGAGGAATCAACAATTTAATAGTCCGAAACTAATTCAGTATAACATTTCAAAGTCAAGTTCAAATATTCAAAGATTTGATTCTAAAATAATTCCACCTTCACAGGTAATAAATATTATTATCATTTATCAAAATATATATTAAAAAGTAACTCTGAAATAAACTGTTGCACTAAGAATGATTAAATTTCTATTTTTACAAAGATACTTTTTATTAGAAATTCTTTGTTAAAAAAAATAATTTTTTTATTTGGTTGTAAATGTTTAAAACTTTAATATTATATAGTTGAATGTGGATTAAGAATGTTCTTAAGTATTCCTGATATCATGATAGTTATTATTACAAATTTGACCCTGATAATCCAGATAATAAACTCTTTTTTAAACTCAACATTCATAATATAAAACAGCTATCATTTAATATTTCTGACCAGTGTGACTGTTAAAATACTTTTCCACAATTCATAAAATACACATCCATTCTGTTCAAGATTTAATTCTACATATCTTTAATGATACTATAAACTTATATATAAAATATAAATTTAATCATATTTGAGAAATTAGAATGTAATTATTTCCAATCAAAGTAGTCTAGTTATTGATTACATAATAAAGTTTAAGAGATATCATTTTCATCTATGATGTTTTCCAAAAAAGAGCACTTTCAACTATGGCAGAACTAAGATTTTTATATATTAATAGACTTAAAAAGAACAAGCTCTTTTTATATGATTAATATATAAAATTATCATTAGGCATTTTTTTTTTCAAAACACCTTACGGTTATTAACTTGTGGCCTTTACTGAATAAAGAATTTGGTTGAAAGTACAGATATTGGAGTGCTTTGGAACTTTCAGAAGTCTACCAATTCTGTCAGTAAGAGGATCTTGTGCTATTATGATACAATAATTTTAGAATGATCTGCCATGTTCTACATACCTGTCTTACTGAACAGAAATGCAATAATTTTTAAAATGAAGGTTCACAAAATTATACAAATTCTCCTTTGACTTTTGATAACTTCATCAGAAGTTTTTGGAAAAACTTAAACTTTGCCAAATATATTTAGCATAATAAATTTTATTATTTTTTAAATAATTTTTTTTTTAAACATAAATAATGACAAATTGAATAAAGGTTTAAACCAGAGGTTCCCAACTTATCACAACTTTTCACAGTAATAAAAAATGTTGGAACACTGACAATAACAAATGTTGGAACCATGCAGATATCAATGAATTAAAGCATATAAGATAGCCACTTTACACCAAAACCAAAATCGAAAGTAAAACTATAATTAAATATAATCAAAATTAATTACTTAAAATTGAAATTAAATCAATTGAAAATTAAAATAATGCTTTAAAAAACTATTTAAAAGTTGTTTTGAAATTTTCAAATTGTAAATCAAATTTATTTTTAAATTTACATTATTTGTGTGCAGTGGTAACAGAACATTTTGCTTTTAATATATATGTTATTGTGAATGACCGATATTTGGCGAATGTCAACATTCTCCGGTGAATGTCAGCATTCATACAGTCGTTTCGTGTATGTACAAAATATTTGCTAAATATCATTATTTCTCACTTACACCGGCAAATGTCGACATTCAGCATTCACTAATGGTGAATGTTGAATAAAATATTTTTATTACGTTACGACAAAAATGCAACTTTTTAAAATAGGAGAAAGCTTAAGTAACAGTATGTGAAAATAGGAGAAAGCTTAAGTAACAGCGCATGTAAATAAACTGTTGAACCTAAAATGAAGAGTACATTTTAAATCATTAAAGAAAATAATACAATAATAAACTTACACATAAATTATGTGATTAACATTATACAGTCTTATTTATTGCAACAGCTTAAACTGTTATGACACTTTGAATTGCACAAGAGTCCCTTGCTTTTACAACTGCATTTATTCATGGAACACTTCCTTTTGCAATGACAGCGTGTATAGCCTTGCCCTCTACTTTTCGAATTAGCTGCAGCTGCTTTTCTCAGCGATATTTCTTGAGAAGAAATCTCATTTATGGAAAGTAACTTTTCTTTAGAAATTATGAATTGATTACATTATTATGTGATTACGAATTGATCTGTTAAGGGTGTCTTTTATTTGGATATTGCCAACGCCTTACCGACGATCCCTCTCATCCTCTGCCACTTGTCCTGACAAACCGTTCAAAAGAACAAAAACGTCACCCAGTGACAAAGTGTGTGGTTTCCACCAAACCATTGCCGGGAAAAGAACCCACAAAGGATTTGGAGACAGACTGTCGCCTCTCTGTCAACATCAGTTTCTCAAGTGTCGTTTCGACCTCCACCAAAGCCTATCTGTGCTTGTCGACATACACCGGCAATTGTTTGAATGTATAATAATATAACCAAATATTCTTTCACTGACGTATTTTGTATATGTCAACATTCACCAGAGACTATTGACATTCTCTAATTTTGGTCTTTCACAGTAACATATATACAGATTAAACAATTGTATTTTTATTTATATGTCAGATCCTTTTAAGATTCTGATTTTTTAAATGACTTTCTAGTATTATCTTGTCAAACATTATATCGTGATTTCAGTTAATAAAACTATAAATAATTTTAGCACATAGTGTTCCAACATTTTTTATTAAGGTGAAAAGTTATGATAAGTTGGGAACCTCTGATTTAAACCATTATTCAATTTGTCATTATTTATGTTTAAAAAAAAAATTATTTAAACAATGATAAAATTTATTATGCTAAATATATTTGGCATAACATTGTATCATTACACAAGGACTTGATTTGAGACTAGAACAATTACACTTTACCTCCCAAATCTGCATTGGCACATTCATACATCACTAGACTCAGTGGATTTTATTGTGGAACCCCAAATTTTTATTGGGCGGAACTCTAGGGTTCTGCAGAACACAAGTTGGAAACTGCTGGTTTAAACAATAATTTCAATTCATTACCTTGTAACTCCTAAAAAATGTTCTTTACTCCTAACATTTTTAATCATTGAATGATTAATCTTCTTTGGGCTACACCTATGAATAGGAATTGCAATATCAAAGGGATTGATAAAATCCTTCAATATTGCAATCTGAATCAGAATACTGCTATTGAAAATGGTATTCAGATCATAATGAGTAGCATAAATCTTCAGATGTACCGGTACAAAATACACTGACTTATCTAATAGCTAAAGCTGGGTTACCCTTCAATGTCTTAGGCAAAGAATTATTCCCACTTCTGAGAGAAAAATAATTGCTCACTCAATTTTAAAAGAACTTGTGTTATGGTTTTTGATTTCTGATTCAGGTCCTTTTTTATGCAAGATGACATTATGCACTTTCTTTAAATAAGTATGCATACTACTAGTCAGTCTTTATAGTTTTAATTATTTTGATACAAGTGTTATGGGAATTAAGGAAATAAGTGGCAAAAGCCCACTTATTCCCTTAGGAAAAAATGCCAAACCAAATTGAATGCATTACGTTTTTGATTTTTTTCAAATTCCATTTTTTACAATAACAAATACATGTATTTATACCATATTTTATATAACTTATTATTTAATCTTTCACTGATATTTTACAGACAAGTTTGTGAGTTCAACAATTAAACTTTACATATCAAGATATCATTTGTAGATTGTTTCTTATAATTCATTAATAACTGATCATACAGATAGCATGGCACCAAGAAACAATGAAAAATGCACTGATTGGAGAATAGCAACATGAGAAAGTTTGCATGTTCTGGTACTTAGGCAACCTAGAACTTAGAATGTAATTTTTTTCATTTTTAGCTTTAAAAATTAAAAAAATTGAATAATAATAATAATATTTTTAAAATTAGAAAAATACTGATCAGTGTCAGGTAATATTTCAGTTTGAGCATTCAGGCTGAAAAGTGGTAATGTCAGTATTGAAATCCCTATATATGATAAAATAAAATGTACAAAAATATGCAAAAAAAACCTAACAAATATGTTAAAAGAAAAACATGTTTACAAATACAAACTTTATTGAACAAAAATGTAAGTTGAGATTAGAATGGCACTCTTTTGAGTTCTTCTGATCTGATAAATAATATTCTGCAAGACTCTTTCTGGACTCTTTAATTGTCTTAATTACATAGGTTATTTTTTGTTATTTCATGTTTTATTATAATTTGTATTTTAGTTTTACTTTGTTCTTTAAATATTGTGAGTCACCATTCTAAATGCATTTAAATTTTGTAATGTGACATTCTAATCTTACATTTTTGTTTGATAAGTTTGTATTTTTATAAACAGATCACTTTTTAACACATTTGTGAGATGTTTTTTTCACTTGTTTTATTTTATCATATGGTTTATAGCCTGGGGAAGATCATTCAATATGATCAAAAATATTAGCAGTGAAGAACTTTTTGTTAGTGTTAAAAGATCTGGAAGTTACAATTTGATTTTTCTATACTAAAGATATGATGATGATATTCTTTAAGAATTATATGTATGATTATTAATAATAATTAAAAAGTTTTTTTTATTTAGAAGTACAGAGAAAAAAGTTATTCTGCTCCTTCATCAAGAATCAAATCCACAATTCCTGCACCAGCTATTAATTCTGGTTCTACACAAAATTTGGATCACATCACTACACATAATTTATCTTCGGGATTTTCTTCAGAAACAATACAACAGTCTTCCCATACAGGTTTAAGAAAACCTACTGTATATCGACCAAGTAAAACTATTTCAAAACCAAGGTATGTAAGATTAATAGATAAATTTTGTTGGTTTTAATTTAAAATAATTTTTATTTTATTCAGACTCTTTAATATTTTTAATAAAAACATATAAATTGTTTAATCAAATTTAATTTGTTTAAAATATTTCTAATAACTTTTTATTTATAATAAAATAAAATTGATACTATATTCGTCTACTTTTGTAAAATTAAAAAGTTAGTCTTAATCAGAGTCAAAATTATTTATTTAATCATATTTTACATAATCATATTCATCATAGAAAATAGTAATTTTATTTTAGAAGATTGTGATAATTTATAGTCCAAAAATGTTTACTTAAATATGGTTACACATATGTATGACACATGTATAACACTAGCCATTATTAGTCTCATGTTTGTCATAAATATGTGAGACTAATAATTAACAATATCAAGTAATTTGCTCTAAAGGTAAGTACTGTAGTTAGGCCATCATCTTGTACTAATTTTTAATTTTACATCTTGTACTAATTTATAATTATAATTGCATAAATTTAAAATTAAATTTATCCAATTAATAATATTGTTTATTATTAGTTAGCCGAAATATAATTCAAGATAATTCAGCATTATAATGATTTGATTAGTAGTAGAAAGGATCCTTAAATATTTTCTGTTTTGGTATGTTGTTATTCAGCATTATTGCAAGTTGCACTTACAAAATGCATATCAGTTGAAAACAACTAAAAAGTTATATGGTAATTAGTTAACTCATAGTTACAAATTAATAATAGTTATAGAAGAAGTTAGGCAATGTGGAGCACCATAAGTAATTAGAATAATTTCATGCCAATATTTAGTCTGTCAACATTTGTTGCAGAACATGAACAATTTTAACACAGGATTCTCCAGTCCATGTGTCTTTCACTCCTCCAAAAGTGTTGGTAATGGTGAACATAGTGTTATTTTTGGCATGTTAACTTTCTGATTGGCATATCTCACAGATTTTAGTGGGCTGCACACAATTATTGAATGGCCTCAACACACTTATTGCTAACAAAATGCACAAATTAAGAACAAATAGGTACTTCCATTGAAATTCCTGCCACACCATGATAACAGATTTTGTCTCATGAAACTGTAAGACACAATGTACTTTCTCTGATCCTGATATCATGTCCACTGTCTACTTAATGACAAAATCTTGCAATTTAGAATGCCACACAAACTTTGAGAATCTTCTTTTATGTAGTTTTTACATCAGAACAGCTACTTAAATTAATGGTGATTAAAAAAGTTCAAAGTTGGAAAGAACATTTATGGACAGAATGTTATGTTTGAACTTGATTATTATATATGATTACTGTGTGTGAGAATTTGACTTTGGTAATTAAAAATTGGTTATAAATAAATTTAACAGTTGTAATTTATAAAAAATTTAATTTTTTATAAATTAAATTTGGAAAAATATAAAATATTGAAATTTTAAAAATAATCTCTTTTAATTGAAAAAAGATGGTTGATTAAAAGTAAAAATTGGCTGGAGTATTTACATTAAAATAAAATATATATATATAGAATATAGAAAATACAAAATTGTTTTTTGTCTTCTTTTGTTGTTTACAATCACCAGCAACAATCTGAAAACAATCTTTGCTTACAGAGACAACCTAATTTAATTTTAATTTTAATCAACTATTGTGATAAATTATGGCATTGGCATTGTTATCAGAGGATGTTTTAACCATTTTACATTTTTTTTCAGAAGTAGTGTCCCTAAGTGAAAATCGTTTTCAGATTGTCTCTGGTAAAATTGGAAGATGAAAACAATTTTGCATCTTCAATGTATTTTTTACATTTTAATGAAAAAGGTATCTTTTTTAAAATTTAACTTTTTAATGTAGTTACAAAACATTCTACACTGCTGCCATCCAAAATGCAACACCCTGAAGGAAATCAAACACAAACACATGGTGCAAATCAAGTAAAATTTGCACCATGTGTTTGTGGCAATGAGATATACAAATGATTAGCATTTCAGCACAAATGCACATCATGGGCACCTGTCGCACCACCTGCAAGTACTATATAAAGGGAGAATAGAAGGCCATTTTGAAGTACTGGAATTGTTCTTTTGTGCGTTTTTTGGTGTAAGAAGCTTCAGTATGCCACACAGAAGAAAATGAGCATTTTTCAAGCACTTTTCTGAGTTTGACCAAGGAAGAATAGTTGCCTACAGGGATTGCGGATTATCCTTTAGAGAAATCGGTGATTGTGTCGGACGTAACCAAGCAACTGTGATGTGGATCTGTAACTGCTGGATGCAGGAAGGAACATCGGACCAACAGGACCGATTGCACCCACCTCATTGCACCACTGCACGTGATGACAGGCATATTGTGTGCATGGCAGTGATGGATTGCTGTGCCACATCATGAACCATATCACAACAAATTTGGTCTGTTGCCCAACAATCTGTGTCCATGCGTATCATTCAACGTTGTTTGCAGCAGAGCGGAATGTCTGCAAGGTGTCCATTGCCGCATTTACTGTTGAGTCAAAACCACGGGTGTTTGTGCAGGCAATGATGCGATGAACGACAGACATGGACAACTGAATGGAACAACATTGTTTTTACTGACGAATCCCACTTCTGCCTGCAACACCACAATGGTCGGATTAGAGTCTGGAGACACCATGGTGAGAGACTACCGAACTGTTGCCTTATGCATCACCATACTGGTCCTAGACCTGGGGGTGTGGGAGTGGAGTCCAATACCACCCCAAACTATGGTTTGGGGTGGTATTGGACTCCACTCCCACACCCCCCTAGTACGCATTGCTGGTACACTGACCAACCAGCACTATATTTCTGAAGTGTTGGAGTCTGTTGTTCTCCCATACCTTCAGAGTTTGCCAACAGACACATTCCAAACAAGATAATGCACGACCACATGTGGCATGCATTGCTCAACACTTCTTCACCCATCAGATTGCATTGCTGCCTTGGCCTCCTTGTTCTCCCGATCTCTCACCTATAGAAAACGTCTGGTCAATGATTGCAGAACGACTAGCCCAGGATACACCACCCACTGCTACACTATATCAACTTTGGCAATATGTGGAAGCAGCATGGAATGCTATACCCCAGCAACATATCCAAAGCCTCTTTGAGTCAATGCCAAGGCATGTAGCATTGGTTACAGCCAGCAATGGCGGCAGCACTCCATATTGATTCCATCATCTTCCTCACATCAAAAGAGACTGTATTTTCAATCATTTGATCTTTGTACAACTGTTATCTCCCAAATAAATTTGGATGTGATATCTCTGGTCCTTCTTGTGTTGCATTTTGGATGGCCAGCAGTGTATTTATATGGTAGTATTTTTTTGTCATTTATGCAAGAATAAGATATTCTTGTGGCATTTGTTACAGAATACCATATAGTATAGTTGTAATGAAGTTTTCAAATTTATATCAAAGAATTCAATTTTATATCAAAAGTAAATATTTGAGAATTAAGCATTTATAAACTTTGTGAGTGTAAAACAGTTTTAAAAATTAATTTTTTAAATTTAATATAATTAATATATTTATTAGATATGTAAGTCAACATTGAATTTATCATAAATTGATAACCCATTGTTGGTGCAGTCTCATTAAAATTTATATATTGTAAATTTATCTTTTACCTATATTTGCAATTACAATCAAATTTTCAGATGTTCAATAAAGGTCTTTCAATTTCATTAGAAAAATCAGGTTCTTATGTCATTAACAAATTCCATCATAGAATTTTAAATACTTCAAGAAAGAAGTTACACTTAAATGTGTCAACATTCTGTAACAAAAATCAAACAAATTTTCTTATTAATATAAGTGTTTTTTATACTATCACTAGATTGGACATCATTTTATTAAGATCATATACAGATCTGAAATTAAATTTTACATGCATTTACAGTATATGATAATAAAATACTTTCATTTCTCCTTATTTTTTTTATTCACTAGTAATCTGATAGTATTACAGTAGAGCGTCGTTTATCCGAAAGAATTCCAGTCGGCAAATTTAAATTTTCACTAGTGCTGTGGTGCTGCAATCTTTGTCTATATCTTGAACTACTCCAATATTTTTTATGTTTGTGTATGTGTTTTAGCTGGCAGCACTGTCACTTTTGTGTGATGTTTTTCTCAGGACTGTATGTCATGCTGAATCAAACGTTTTTGATACTAGATAACTTCTAAAGTATAAATTTTTTTTGTTTTTATATTTTTAAATATATTTTGTTTGTAAAAAATAAAGAAATAATTTTTAATGATACAATAGCCACGATTATTATTTTAGAAAGTTTACATTCGGCTTAACATCGACAAAAATTCAACGCGAAGTGACACGCACCAGAGAAAAATCTCAACACAGGATAGGTTAGTGTATTTTTTCGTACATAATTGGTTATCCAAAAAATAAGTTATCCGAACAACCCCAGTCCCCAATTGATTCAGATAAACAATGCTCTACTGTATGTTTGAATGGTATAAGATTACTTGTGTATAACCTGTAAAAATTCTAAAAATTTATATGTTACATCTGCTGATATTTTATTGTATCTTTTGTCTTTTGCTATATGCTGTTACTGTTGTAAAATAGAAATTTAATTTTTATTAAGAACATCTTATTTTATCAAATTATCATATTTTAATCCACATTTCATATAATGTGCAAAAATGCATTATATGTTTTTAATATTTATTAGCTTTTACCTTAATATTTTAAAATTTTGATATTAAAGTTACATTGCAACATTAGAGAAGTCAAATATAGTGACTTTCTTGTTATTCTCATGAATAAGTCATAAACATTACAAATAATTTAGTTCTGTCATTTTTATTATTTTTATCTCTGCAAATTTATTTTCTAACACTTAGAATTTTCAAATAATTATAATTTATTTTAAATTTACTTAAAAATTAATTTGAATTTTTAAGTCTATTTAATATATATTTATACATTTATTCTTTATAAGGATTTGAATTACAAAGTTCTAGAATTATATAATTTTATTAAAACTTTTTTAGAAATATATTTTATGATGATTAAAGAAATAATTAAACATTATTTATTTTTAAAGAATAAAATTTTATTTATTTTTCTCTAAAATTATTATTTTTTTTAATAGGTCAGGAATACCAATTAAATCAAGACAAAGTATGAGAAATGCAATGGATGATGATTGGAGTGAAGGATGTTTTTAAATATAGGCATTAAATTATTAATTGTTTTATCACAATAATAATAAATAGTTTTTATAATGATATAAAATAGTAATGATTTAATAAATTTTGAAAGTAAAATTTATTTAAAATTAATTATATCTAAATATTTTTTTTAAAAACTTATAAGAATATTTTTAAAATATTTAGAAAATTAATGCTATATATTTTTTCCAAGGAAGGAAAAGGTTTTGCTCTTTTGAGAAAAGAAACATGTCAGCAAATAATTAAAAACATCTCTGATATGATTAACTTTTGATATTATCAAATATTCAAATTATCATTTGCAAAAATGCAAATTATTTGTTTTAAAATTAAAAGTTTTATGAAGCCAGCTATTTCAATATCAGTTCATTTTGAATTGTTAGCAAATAAAATATTTTAAATACTTTAAAATAATTTTTATTTGCTATTTATTTGTGTTCTTTTGCAAGATTATTTTATTATAGTAAATTAAAATTTTATAATTAAAATATCATTAATTAAGCAAATGAAAATATCATTCACAATCATTTGTTTAATTATAGACTTTTTTAAAAATATTTGTTATAAATTATTAAAGTTCTTGAAAACAATACTCAAAATATTAGAAATTTTATTATAAGTTCACAGATCTGGAACAGCAATTTTGCTAGAAAAACACATGCATATATATTTAATTATAAATATTTTTTCATCTTGAAGTTATTTTGTAAATGTTCTATATTTATTGTTGTTAGAATATTTTTAAATAATTAAAATGTTTCAATGAATTAACTCATAATTTATTAACTACTTTAATTAGTGATACTCTAAAAACATAAAAGATTTAATTTGACTCATATATTTAATTTAAATAATTTTAAGAAGTTACAAGAAAAAGTAAAAATAAATTAAATTAATTATTATTTAACTTAACTCCTTAACTATATTTGTATACTTTTTATTTTATGCATTATTTAGAATTTTTTAATGTTAAAACATTTATTTTAATTATTTTTTTTGTTAATCTTTCAGTAATACATAAATTAATTAAAAATTAATGTAATTTTTAATTTAGTTTTATATATTAAATATGATAAAATTTAATGTGTTTTTATGTAGAAATTCCTATACAGTTTCTCTAAATTTGTTTCACTTTTTTTATAATGTAGACAAATTTTAGAATTTTTAGATTTATATAATTTTCTTAAGATCAATATAAAATGAATTATCAGAATGAAGCATTACTTATCTAAAAATTATATATATTTTTGAATGTTTAAGTCTGAGGCAATTTATATCACTATTAATTTGAGGTTAAAGTGAAGATGGCAAAAAAGAAAAGGATTTGTCTCAGTTTTAATATACATTGTTCAATAATTCTATCATTCTGATATCTACACAACTAAATAGATTATTTAAGAAATTAATGCTAAAAAAAATGTATTTTAATATTGATGATACTTCCAATAATGAATTAAATTAAACACCATATCTTTTCTTGTAAACTTTAGTATACAAGATACAATAAAATCTAAGACAATTTAGTTTTATCATTGGAAATCAGTGTTGATAAATGCATTTTTTTCAATGTTAACTTATTATTAATGTAATTGAAGATATCCAGTTGACAATGTTTAGTTATAAAATTTATCAAATTGTAAAAAATTATTTCTCTGTAGATATAATGAATATAATTATTATAATAAAATTAAATAAAATTAAAGAATAATTTCTGATAAAATATCTATTCAATTTTTCTTAATTTATAAAAACTGTCATAAACTGGACAATGTATATTTGGAAATTTTGAATTCAATGATAATTAGAAAACATATCATTATATATTTAAAATTATTTAATTGTACAAATTAAATATTTATAACTACATTTTATAAAAATGCTAATAATAGTTTTTTAACTAAGAATTTCCTATTTCTAAGAAATTAAAAACAGTTATAATAGATATTTATTTTCTCTTTTTAAAAAATTAAAATATACTGCTTTTGATATCACATTATGAATTGTCATCTTAATTAGTGTATTGTTCAGAAATATATGAGATTAATGATAAATAATGTATATAAGTATAATGTCAATTGAAATATTTAGAAAATTTTTAATATAAAATTAAAAAAACAATCTTTACTTATCTAATATAAATTATTTAAGATAAACTGGTTAAGGAGTTAAGTTTTGCTTGAGATTATTAATTAAAACAAAAATGATGCATATTCTATTGGAATGAAATACTTTCACATAGTTATAATTTATAGATTGTTGTATGGTAAGAAACATACAGCAATTATTTACTTGTTATTTTTTAATAATCGTACTATAACAAATAGCTATTTTAACTTTTTAGATTCAATCAAACTTGTATTATTCAGTTTTTCTTTTTTCTTTACAGAAAGAAAACATTTTAATTATTTATTTTCATTTATGCAATTTCATTTTGGATCACATTTAAAATCAACATATTTATAATATGTATAATGGATATTGCCTTAAGATCTTGTATGCATTCTAATAATATGAATTTAATCAAATCTTCTGGCATGTTAACCAAAATACTATCAAATTTTATAATTTTAATTATATAGGATTGCTATTCAGATGATTGTTCTTTAAATGGATTTCTAAAAGTTACTATTATTATAACAGTCTTCTTCTCAACTTACTGGAGTGAGTAAATAAACTATCACACATAAAACCTTTTTAACCAGGAAATTTATAATGCCAACTTGAAAGCCAACTGTATTAACTTTAAAGACTGCGAGACAGTGATGCATGTGTGGAAGTACCAGTACAAGAAATTTGAATGAGATCAATCAACTGCATGAATTTGATATATTCAAAGTTTAAAGTCAAACGTCATCATTCTAACATTCCAATTTTTGGAAGTCAGTTTTGTTAAACACCTGAGGCAGGCTTTGGTGAAGGCTGAAAACGTTTGGAAATTACGTTAAAGTTCAATTACTGGTTAAAAATGTTTTGTGTGTGATAATTTAGTTACTCCTNTTAATGCTATATATTTTTTCCAAGGAAGGAAAAGGTTTTGCTCTTTTGAGAAAAGAAACATGTCAGCAAATAATTAAAAACATCTCTGATATGATTAACTTTTGATATTATCAAATATTCAAATTATCATTTGCAAAAATGCAAATTATTTGTTTTAAAATTAAAAGTTTTATGAAGCCAGCTATTTCAATATCAGTTCATTTTGAATTGTTAGCAAATAAAATATTTTAAATACTTTATTATTGTTACTAGTGTCAATTTAAATGTAAGTTAAATAATTTATAATGTAAAGACTTGTAGTTAGTTAAATGTCATACAGAACGAAATACAACAAAGTTTTGACTAATAGAATAGAGGAACTGGAACATGTAATTTGATAACTAATTGTGCTCGGCATTACATAATAATCGTAAATCCATAATACTAATTAGTATTCGAATTTCTGTGACTTAAAACTATTATTCTATTATCTTGTTCAATTCGAGACTCATGAGAACCTATTAAAATAGAAACTTACAATTCTATGAAAATATATAGAATATTAAATAAATAAAAAATTTTTTTTTGCGAACAGATTAAATTCTAGAGATTTATTTCAAGTAATAACTTATAATAAGGTGTGCTTGTTAGAGAGAGAGAAAGAGTATCAAACTACTTCAAAAGTTTCAAATTATTTCCAGTTTAACGCAATAGAAAACTGAATAATCAAACGATTAATTTATATAATATACTTATATCAGAATTTTAAAATAATTTTTTATTTTTATTTTATTAAAATCTTGGACTAGTTTTTACTTTCCCGGCTGTTATATACAATATAACAGAGGGAAAGTATGACGAGGAATGAAAATACTGACCCTCCCCATGATTTTTACATAAATTACTGGAAGGATATTTTCTTATTGATTGCTATTGTATTCGCTTGATGAAGAAAAACTTTTAGAACATCTTCATTAGCTAAAAATTTTCATCTTCATTTTTAAATTATTAGAAAAATGAATGTTACTGTAACAGAATATATTTAACGATAGTTGTATATTTTAAAAAATGTTGTTTTTTTGTAGAACTATATGATGGTCTACTTGTCATTTCACTGTATAGAAGTAATGATTTCAGATCTATTGTCATAGTGTATTCAGGTTACATCGAATCTACAGTGCTTGGGGCAGACAGTTTGCTTGTTTAACAAGGTTTTTTTTTTTCTATGGCATAAGTCTATTATAGAAGCCACCCAAAATGAAATTTATATTTATACTGTTTTTATTTATAAATACAATATTCATTAAGGAATATAATAATTATATAATATACATAATATGTTAATATTTATTTTATCAGGGAATATTTTAAAAATTATTATAACTGTTTAATATTCTTTTTAGTTTTATTATATTTTCCAAATAAATTAAATACACTTTCGAGTCTGAAATTTATATATTGACACATTAATACATTTTGCCAAATAGAAAGCTGGAATAGAATAGAAGACAGATCGATAGTTGTCTGCTTAATAACAAGTGACATATGACACAAATTCAGAAGTGCTAGAATTCCTAGACGTATACCATGAATTTCTGTAACATTTTATATTTATTATTAATTTTAGTNTAATAATAGTTTTTTAACTAAGAATTTCCTATTTCTAAGAAATTAAAAACAGTTATAATAGATATTTATTTTCTCTTTTTAAAAAATTAAAATATACTGCTTTTGATATCACATTATGAATTGTCATCTTAATTAGTGTATTGTTCAGAAATATATGAGATTAATGATAAATAATGTATATAAGTATAATGTCAATTGAAATATTTAGAAAATTTTTAATATAAAATTAAAAAAACAATCTTTACTTATCTAATATAAATTATTTAAGATAAACTGGTTAAGGAGTTAAGTTTTGCTTGAGATTATTAATTAAAACAAAAATGATGCATATTCTATTGGAATGAAATACTTTCACATAGTTATAATTTATAGATTGTTGTATGGTAAGAAACATACAGCAATTATTTACTTGTTATTTTTTAATAATCGTACTATAACAAATAGCTATTTTAACTTTTTAGATTCAATCAAACTTGTATTATTCAGTTTTTCTTTTTTCTTTACAGAAAGAAAACATTTTAATTATTTATTTTCATTTATGCAATTTCATTTTGGATCACATTTAAAATCAACATATTTATAATATGTATAATGGATATTGCCTTAAGATCTTGTATGCATTCTAATAATATGAATTTAATCAAATCTTCTGGCATGTTAACCAAAATACTATCAAATTTTATAATTTTAATTATATAGGATTGCTATTCAGATGATTGTTCTTTAAATGGATTTCTAAA